ACAACAAAGGTGTTACCCTGATAGACCAATCAAGGGTTGCCAATGTTATAATTGGGCAGGATTCCGATCTTCTGGAAGTCTTCAAGGAAAACATCTCCTCAGAAGAGAAGGTGCGCCTTGATGGCAATGAAAGCTATTTATGGGAAGACGGGCTCTTCCATTTTAAAGACAAAATCCATGTGCCTGAGTCCGCAAGGATCAAGGTAATAGATAGACATCATGACACTCCAGTGGCTAGGCACCCTGGGTGGCAACAAACAATGGAGTTGATCTCCAGAAACTATATGTGGCCTGGCATGGTCAAAGACGTACAGGAATACATAAAATCCTGTCTGAGATGTGCCATGGCAAAGAATTCTCACCAACCGCTGGCAGGTAAACTTATGCCGAATCCAATACCAGCTGGTCCCTGGCAAGATATATCAGTTGATTTCACAACGGATCTGCCTGAGTCAAATAGGTATGATTCAACAATGGTGGTAGTAGATCGCTTCTCCAAAGAAGTGGTATTCATACCCACCAATAAAACCATTACCGCCGCTGGTACGGCAGATTTATTTAAACCGCGATGCTGTTCGCGAATTTTATTCTAAGAACACCTCAGCTCCTAGGAAGCTTAGAGGCATGGACTCAAAACTCTTTAATTCCCTTTTTCAACCTATGCCCGAAAATTTAACTACCACCTCCGGAAGTCAAGCCTTAGAAGGGGGGTAGTGTTACGATAACACAATTTTTGGACCTTTCCTTTATTTTCATTCTCCGCTTTAACCTTGTATACTTTAGCTTTCACACATGGTGCCACGCAGCACTTCCCCTTTTGTTCAAACCCCTCTTTCTCGTGCTGCATTGCCTTCTTCTTATTTTAGATACAACTCTCTCACACAGTGGAGCTGGTCATGCAGGCTAGGCCCCATGATATCATCAGCCACTGACTTTATCAACTGTACAGTACATAAGTACAAACACTCTGTATTAGTATATATACCCAATAGATCCAGGAGACTCCTTAGCAAGTCCTCCTGTTGTTAACCAACAAACTCTCTGCAGCTTAAGGGGTAACCACTCCCCCATCACTACCTTTATAGTGTGTTCTTGTGTGCGCCAGAGTAACTAACTCTTGGTTGTTACAGAGCTGGCTTGGCAATTTATCTGGGCCTTGCCCGGAAACCATGCCCAGGATGTGATGACAACCACAGTCTAGCAGAGGACAACTCACAGGAGGGTGACTCCCAGGGGGACGGTACCCAGGACAATTTTTCAGGTGCCCCATTAGATAATGAGGAAGGAGAAATATGGGAAGATGAAGAAGTAATCACAATGGGTGACATGCCCAAAAGGACTGGCTCCACCAACATCAATGGCAATGCAATGATGCTTCTGGTAGACAGATACAGTGTGCATCATTTGCCTGTTAAATGGTGTAGCTGTCCTAATGCTGCTTGCTTGGATGTTCAGCTCTTATCCAATGGGTTGTACCCAGCAAGTCAGAAGAAGCCTCAAACAGCATTCACCTTTGCTTTGCTTGCTGACTTCTTGATCAATAACAAGGAATGTAAAACTTCTGCAATGACTTTTTATTCCAAGATATGGTGGGTGACAAACAGTGCATTCCTGCACAAGGTCCCAGTGTGTCCCTCAGTTCTAGACTTTTTGGGTACCTCAATAATATTCCCCCCCTCTAGAATAGATATCAGGAGTTTATGGGGGTGTCCAGGCAGTGGAGACATTTGAAATATATGCATTGGCATGGATTTGCACACCAACCCGGCTGTCACCCTTCCCCGGGGTTTCTAGCATTCTTTTGCCCGGCTTGCCCTTAGCTGGATATTAATGTCTTGCTTGATTGGAAGCAGGACCCCCTCAGGCAGTATCAGTTGAGGACTTTTGTCATGGATGGAAACTTTAACGCAGAGTACATAAAGTCAAAAAACCCACATGATGATGTCCCATTGGCCAATGGCACAGCATTCTTGATGGCGAACCAACCGGACATGAATCACCTCAAAATTGCGAAAGAAAATAAAGTGGGGTCTACTTGTAATGACCACAGAGCTGTAAGCCTGGCAAAATAGACCGGAAGCACCTCAATGCTGCCCGGATTGGTGCTACTGCCTGTGCCAGGCATGGAGTATTTTGCCCGGGTGCCATAGTGAAGTTTCAGAAAGGTGAACGGTAAGTTCAATGATCCAGCCATTGTCTCATGTAATCATTTTGTGACTACACCAATGTCAGACAAATAATGGCGGGGGTGCTTACTCAATGGACTTGCCTTCCTTGGAGGTATAAGCATTGGCTCAAAAAAGGAATGGTCAATGTCTTGGATGGGGAACATATTATGTTTATGAGTTTGACGGGGCGTTGACAAAGTTAATCGGGATATGTGGTCTTTCACACTTATTTGTTTTCTACGCATACCTCTGCTTGTTTTGAACTCCTTCCAATCTACTCTTTGTAATACTGGAGCCAAACATTGGGACGAGCTGCGGCCTCACAAGGCTAATTAACTTGATGGACCTGGCACTAAATTTAAATTTCCATATATGGAAGCAATATATCAGGGAAGACATTAGTTGGGAGGTACCTGACATGTTCCGGGCCTTAGCCGAAGGCCCAGTATGGAGTTAAGGTAATGATATCATTGCTTAGATCTGAAAAAAAAGCCTAACATTTGCTTGGAATAGATGAATATGGTATTCAATTGACTGAAAATTTGCACTCAAATGGAAAAAAGAAAGATAGTGCTCATCTTCAAATATGCACCTCACTTTTTAACTCATACCACATTTAATCATGCCTGAAGTACAGTTTAATGACGCCTAAATTGGAATACTCAATGCACATTTGGAAGAGTTCTGGGGTGCAAATTCTCTACAATGGGGATGTGTACTTAATGATACCTGGGATGAAGTCAGGGAAATTTTGGGAGGACATGTACAAACTAACATCAAGGATTTAACTGACATGAAAAAAGTATGATCACTCTTAATTGTCAAAGTATATCATCATGTTTACAACTAATATTGCAGCGGGTCAGGTATTGGTTGTACAACCACAGTGGTAATAAAGAGCCCAGGAACAACATCAGGAAAAACCCTTTTGCTATATAGCGCTATATAGCCACCACCTATATATATAAATGCATTCATAGAAACTATAGTACTATCAGTGCAATCATAGCTCTTATAGCTCTTATAGCACAGTAGTAGGCAAAAATTTAACCAAGGGGAGAAGTATCTATAATTCCCTCAAACTCTAATCTAATAAACTTGTTCAATAATAGAAAGAGGCCAAAGTGTTTGGAGTCAAGTATATTATTATAGGCAAGATACTATAAGTGGTTTTATAGCCTATAGCAGCCTACATAGTTCCTATAGCTGTAAAGGTCATAGTTATAATATAGTTCAAGGTGCTTAAAAGGGCTAATAAATCATCCAGTATTAATTAATTATGTAGCCTGTATTAGTGAAATAGTAGTTTGTATCCCTGATATTCACAAAATAAGGACCACTTAATGTACTCTGTTAATAAGGTACCTCTAAACCCTGAAGGTTTTCCTCCAGGACAAATCATCCCTTTATCCAGTATTAGACAGGTTTGTCAACTTATCCCTGCTTTTGGTGGTTTGCACGATACATGTCCTCATCATTGGACTCATAGTAATGTTCTGGATGTTTGTCATAAATTTCATCTTAATAACTTTAGTAGCAAATATGCATATCAAACATTATGGTAGTCATATATAGCATTTTCAACTTTGTGTCTATAATACTATTATTGCTTTTGTTGCTCCTATTGTTCTTATTGCTCATATAACACTATAGTCACTATAATCATACTATAGTTGCTCTTATAGTGTTTTAAGTGCTATAGGTGCTATAATAGGCTTTATTTGCACATATGTACAAAGCCCTCTGCTATATAGCAAAAGGCTTTTTCCTGATGCAGGCTGTCTTTACCGAGATGTTTATTCAGGTCCAGGTCCTGGTACTGATATTATTGAGGGACTAAGAGGATTTGTTGTCCAAGTGTGCAGACTTGATGTATTTGTACTTTTATCTGCCGCCCAATGTTGATCAGTAACCGTTCAAGTTAAGATACGCCAGAACCTGCTTTATGGACTTTGTGAGCAGTCTAAGATGTACAAAATATGCCTTAGCATGGCTGCCTGAGTCATTGGTGATGTAACTGTGACAGTGGATTTATAGGCTTATCAGATGACATCAATCAAGTTTAGAAAGTATTGCAGCCAGTACATGTTAGGCTGGCTCAAGAACTTGAAAGGCACAGAGTTGATCCAAGTCATTCAAGAGTGACTCGGAAATAATTGCGCGACTGTGATTATTACAATACAAAATTTTCGGACCTTTAAATTTCATTCTCCACTTTAACTTTCTTTTGTAGTTTTCACACACTGTGCCATGTGGCACTTTCCATTTCTGTTCAAAAAACTCCACTTTCTTGCACTACACTGCTTTTCTTTATTCTTAGCTACAAGTCTCTCACACAGTGGAGCTGGTCACACGGGCTGTGCCCTATGACATCATCAGCCACTGCCTTTATCCACTGTATAGTACACATGTACAAATAGTGTGTAGATGTATATAAACCCCAATAGATCAAGAAGACTCCTTAGCGAGTCCTCTTGTTTTTTAATCACAACTAACTCGGTCCTATCTTAAGGGGTAACCACTCCCACTCACTTCACTACTGCTTGTCTGAGTTGTGCGCCAGAGTATACAAACTCTTGGTCGTTATAGTGATGGGCCCCAGGCGGTATTGTTTTTTTGATATTGACTTTCACATCAATATATGGGCTGACTAAGGGAGACTACCCGGGCGGTGGGATTGTGATCATACATCTCGGCTCAGATGCTAAGTCAGCCACTGACATAGAACACTTGTACAGATTATCATGATCTCATCAGAAAACATGACCATGACACTATTAGTACTTTGTGTCTGATCACACGCGTGACTTAGCACAACTCGGCAAATTGACGATGATTGGAGATATCCAAGTGATAGTGTCAGCCAGCACTATCATAATTATAATTGTAAGTCTTAGCCAAATTTATCCAAGATCAAACTCATCAAAATATCCTATTGATTGTAGCTGGAATGTTTCATACATGTGCTGAGGGAACGAGTTGAAGCTATTCTAGGCACTGTCAGAATCTGTTTCGAGAGTCAAGTGTTTTGCAGCACTAGACTCATTAAACTTCATCAAGATAGTATGGTATGTACAATTGGCCACTCAGGCCCATCACCACAAAGGAGTACTCACAAATAAAGCTGGATTATATATTTCACTAACAGGAAGAAAATATAAGCTTCAGACTTCCAGATAGGTCACTTGGAACACAATAGAACAATATTCACAAATATATCACTATAAGGCCATACTTAATAAATGTATCAAGATGCAGCTACTACCCCCAGCTTTCTGCCAGGATCTCAAACATATATTGAGTGAGCCATGATAATCACCACCATGGCAGTAACAGTAAGTTAGTTTATTCCCTCAAAATCTAACTGATTGCTTTATCTTATTTCAATATCTTATGTGCGTGACAGTTTTTCTGTCCCCTACTTCACTCCAAGTCCAGAATCAAACAATCAGCATCCAATTTACAAAATAGATGGATCAGCAAATAGAGGTTAGCAAATCCTTTACACAACGGCCATCATACTGACTCTAATACCTTGCAGTAATTGCCAAAGCATGCCAGGACTTGAACTCCTGGTTTCAAGGAGCCAGGACTCACCTCACCATCCTGGCTCCTAGTTCTACATTTGACACATGCTGGGCAGACAATACCGTGGGCTTCACCCTCCTACTCTAAATTGTTGAATTATAATAGCACACTGACACACCCTGACAGAACACCTTAAGTGGTGGTTTCTTTTTTCAGCCTGCATTACCCATGTTGAGCCTTCAAGCTGATGGTACGCCAAGTCGCATCTTTCATTTTACATTTACTAACAATGTAAAACTCATTATATCAAAGGCCCTTGCTTCTCTCCATTTTCAGGAATACGCCCTGGGTTATTCTCTCTGGCACCTGACTTTGATTCAGGCTTTGATCAACCTTTCCAGAATTCAGGTCAAAATGCACTATTTCCCTTTGCTAGCCAGGTTGGCGGCCAAATGTATGGCCATCATCAGTACATTGCTGCTACTAGTACAGACACATATATGGGTCAGTCTTTTTGTTTTTCATCTCTTTTTTACATTTCATCTGCCTCACTGAATTTGAATATCATAGACTTCCCGTCTGGGCCCAATGTGCCAGCACAGCGCTTGGAGCTTCCTATGGCTCAACCTATTCCCCAGCTGGGCCTCCAAGTTTTTGATGTGTACGCATAAGTCTCTTCAATTTTTTTCTCATATTATTGTCCACTTATATGCAAGTGCAGGTATTCCAGCTCCCACACTACAAGCTAATATGGCCTTTAACCAAGGATGTAAGTATTTTGCCATAGTAGATATATTACCAGGAACATTGTTTAACTGCTGCTTCCATGTTTGTAGCAATAAGAAGGTCCTTTATGCCATCTGGACCTCAGCATAGGTGCCCTCAATTGTTTGTTCTTTCTCCTCTTTGTACTGATGTTGTTCCCTCCACAGAATCTCCCTTTCCAGCTCCTAGTTATCCCAGCTTTCAAGTCAGCTTTAGCCCCTGCATGTACCAGACTTCACTGCCCCTTCCAACACACCACCTTTGGAGTCGTTAACACCTGTCATGGATATGACTGGCATTGTGCATCACCCTGTACCTGCCAGTGGACCTGTTTTTGCTCATGTGCCGGTCTTTCCCCCTGGTCCCCCAGTGTCTGCACCCATCCCTGTCTCCATCCCTGCATTTTTGGTTCTCCCGTCTCTGATCTCTTTCCTATGTCTGTGACCATCCCTAACTCTATGCCTGCATCCACACCTGTGTTTGTCCTGGCCCCCGTTGTGCATGTATGCATGCCCATTACAGCAACATCTGCAGGTACAACAATCCACTGCAAAATTACCATTGTTCCAAAATGTTACAACCTCTGCTCTATTGATCTCAAAGCTGGCTCCACGACATGTCCTTCTGCCATGCTTATAGAAGTGATGTAAGTTGATTCTGGATAATCTAACCTTTAAGTCTATCATGTGAATACATTATCTGTCCTACTAGGGAAAGAGAGTCAGATTCTGTGGAAACCGACTTGCAATCATTGCCAATTACCTTCTATTCACTCGTCTATGGGACATGATTGAGTCCTAGTATGCCATGTACTTCATCAAGCACAACAAGTTTCCAGAGAGTTTAACCGATGAAGTCTTGGCTGTTGTCATATATGCAGTGAGTGTGTATGCAGTTTTATAGCTAGTTTTGTCCACTGACACAGTTTCAAAGGTTCAATGGGAGTTATCCGGCTGTCTTACAGGATTCTACAATCCTGGGCATAGATTTAACGAGGCTCCCTCCAGAGTTTACTACGACAAAGCACTTGCTGCTATCCAAGACCTTTCAAGCAAAGAGAGGGTTATATTAGATGGAATTTTTTGTGCCCTACTTGTTAAAGGAATGTAAGTATCATTTCACTTTGACTCGTAAAACCTGCTGCAGGGCATGGCTAATAGCACTCCGGGCAGTATGCAAATGTTGTACCAATTTCCTTAAAGTCATCATTATTTTGTGTTTAGTGAACAGTCACATTTTCTGTCTGCTATACTAATAGTATACAATGTTGTTTGATTGTAGAACTTATCAGACCTGACCAATATCAAATTAGTGCATTTATGAGTGCATTTTGTGTGTGTAACCACTGAAGTATACTTAGTACACAATATTTCTGTAATGCTGGCAGATGATGTTTCAATGAGATGTATAGATATTATCATAGAGAAAGTTAATTATGATACAGGTAATTAAAACCAGCCTTTGTCATAATACTCATTATCCTTGCTATCATCCTTATCCTCAACCTTGTCCTCTGCACCAACCGAGCCCTCTGAATCACTGTTTTCAGTTGTACATTTGTCTTCCTGGTTTGAATCCTTCACATGCTGCCCAGTATGTCCAATACCCCCACCAATATGCCACATAAATTAGTCCCTGTCAGCAAAACTGCAGAAACTGTAGGTTAACTAGCCAAGAAAAATGCGGAGAACTTAGACATTGACATAGAACTGTGCCCAGTCATCCACTTTTTCACATGCCCAGTCAACAGATGGACTGTTAGCCCTTTAGCAAATGCTAGGATGAGGTGGCATCCTTGAATTACTAGTAAAGGGTCAAGAAAACCAAAGGCCAAGTTCTTGCAGCACAACTCCGGATTGCACAAAAAAACCACCAATGTATCACCAAACCACCAAACTCACAACACCTCCATTTGGCTGATTGAGTTGCATTTGCATCAGGCCCAAATACATGGCATCTAAATGGAAAACCCCCAGTATGTGGGCATACCAGAATGAGTTGCTGTCATTTTTGCGGTCCGGGGATAATACCATCATGTCACAATTGGTCTGAGGATTTATGACATCCTGATCATGGCAAAGATCATAGGCTGTATAATTCACTCAAAACGTCTTGGAGCTGTATAGCCGGTTATTGATTATACATACACCATTACACTGAGCATCACTGAATTCATACTTGTTGTTATGATACACAATTTTTGGACCTTTAAATGTCATTCTCCAATTTAACTTTCTTTCATAGTTTTCACACACTATGCCATGTGGCACTTTCCATTTGGTTCAAACTCCACTTTCTCATGCTGCACTGTTTTTTCTTTATTCTTAGCTACAAGTCTCTCATGCAGTAGAGCTGGTCACACGGGCTGCACCCCATGACATTATCAGCCACTGCCTTCATCAACTGTATAGTACACATATATAAATAATGTGTAGTAGTATGAATACCCCAATAGATCAAGGAGACTCCTCAGCAAGTCCTCCTGTTATTTACCCATAACAAACTCAGTCCTACCTATGCTCTCCTCCATTCACCCCTCCTTGCTTGTTGTTGATGTGCGCCGGAGAATACAAACTTTGGTTGTTACACCTGTTGAAGTCCAAGTTATGGAAGCGGTAGAGCAAGTGGTTTTGGAGCTTGGGGATGAAGTCCTGATGTTCAACAGAGTAAGTACAGATGAAATATATGAAGACAGAGGCCAAATACCTGGACAGCAAGATCATGCAGATATTGGTGCAAAAGGGAAAATATATCCTGGGGATAATTGTGTGAGTAAGAAATATAATGGTGGGACTCTGCGGGAATCGGTAAAACAGGATTGTCCTCAGCAAAAGAGACATAATGTTGATGTCCAGAGTATGTAGCCAAATCAGTCAAGTCTTGTATGGACTTAAGTTTGGCTTTTTGACGTTTTAACTTGGTTAATTGTTTAATGGCATTGTTCTTGTTTGTCAAAACATAGCCAGCTTTAATTATGCAATGTGCAAGCTCGGCCTTTGGTTTGTTCAGCATTTCATATTTGTTGGGTTACTGCTACTAGAAACTTACAAGTTGTGTTGTATACAAATCTGTTGTGCCAAATTATATGATAATCTGCACATAGTTGGCAACTGCGTGAAATTTATAAGTATTCAAGTTAATTTGCCTCTTTTTTGGCTGTGATGCTGTTGGTGTAGAATTATCTTTGTTTTGACATTGTTGAGCAGCTTTTTGCTTTGGCTGCTCAAATGTCTTAATGGCCTCACAAGTAGTATCACAGAAATTTTGCATTTCTCACCCAAGTATCTTTTTTGTGTCATCCAGTAGGGCCAGTGTTGAATCTGTATGAATCTGCAATTTGGCAAGTGCATGCCAAGTAGCAAATTGGTAGAACAAAGTCACTACCATTTTGTTATATAGTTGTGGAAAAACTCTATTGAAGACAGGTATTGCACACTGGAGGTAGAAAATCAGTGTCAGCCAGATGTTATACCAATATCTCATCAATGCTCAACTTGTAACAAATTTTGGTAGTCTCTTGCTGCTAACTTCTTCATCTCAGATGTGTTAGTAGAGAACCTTCAAATCACGCTGCTGCCAAATGTGGGCACCATACAAAACCTTTTTACAATGTGTTGTGAACAGTATTTGCTATAATAGTAGAAATACCATACCTTTTGTCAACCTTGGCCACCATATTTCCAGGGAGCGCATACAGCAGTCAAATTAAAGGAGTGAACAAGGACCTCCAAGTGCAAAAACTTGCACCCATACATCAAGTCAACAACAGGCATAGAAAATGAATCAAAGTTGCTCAATTTTTTGGCAATAGTATTCTGTAGAATTTTAATGACCTGCAGATACTTATAATGGCGGGAACTAGCCTGTCATCCTTGAGCAAACCTTGTACAGCATTACCATCAACCGTACTTTCTAACCTGTAAATAAAATCTCTTGCTAAAATGATTCTTGAAAGTGCATAAGTTTGTATTTTGTGTATTCTGCACCAGAGATCCTGGATCCCACCTATGAGATCTAATTGTGTCTTGAGTACTAGGTAGCGGGGGCAGGGACACTGCCCCATGTTGCAAATTGTTGCACTAAGAGTTCTACATGTGAAACAGTCAATAGATGTTTTTTGGGGAAACACTGGGCAAGATACGTACTTTTCTTGATAGTCTGCCGAGTAATAAAAATTTGAGGATATAATGCCAAAATATCCCATCTATGCACTTGATGACTAACCCATGCTTGTAAGCATGGATGAACTCTGTGTCCAACATAATGTTCCAGGCTGAATAGAAAAGTTCGTGGTGACAGTGTGTCAGAAGGGTATGTTTGGCTGATTATGATGCATCACAAACTTTGTTGATAAAATCATTGATGCAGCCCAGTAGCTATGGCAAGTCCAGTAAGACACTCGAGAATAGTAGAAATAAATCTACAGCAGGCAAGAAAGCAACTTGATGACAATCACCTGAGCTTGGCTGAGCATAAATATACTTAGGCAGGTTCCCAAAGTACAAGTAAACAGGCTATGCCTTCGAAGTCCCAAAGCTGGCAAGATGGGTTTCATCTTACCAAAACATCAGGCCTGCAATGACCTTTTCCAGCTTACAGCCACGTCCAGATGGCCGTCTTTGAAGCTCATTGTGTGCCTTGATCCAAGAATCCGAAGTATACAACTTGTTGTATACACGTTGGGGTAGAGCTGTGGAACAGGACCTCCAAAGATGTTGGAAAGGTACCATATGAAATTTTGTTGTGAGTGGATTTGCAAATGCGCTTTTTATGACTTTTGTTAATGAACAATAATGCACTCCTTCAACATTGAAACAATTCAAATCCACTATTGATATACCTTGACCAGGTGTAACAACCAAGAGTTATTTACTCCGGTGCACACAGGAACACACTATAAAGAAGATGATGGGGAGTGGTTACCCCTTTGGCTGCAGTGAGTTAGTTGTGCTAGACAACAGGAGGACTCACTGAGTCCTTCCCCATGTATTGCTCTTGTATATATACTAAAATACATGAGGTACTGTACAGTTGTAAATAAAGTTCAAAGTCCGATGTCTAGCATGTGACCGGTCATATGATGAGTCTAGACACTGGTCAGGTGATATGTCACATAACTGGTTATATGACTATGAAAAGTTGAAAATGTAAAGTAAAGTAAATGGTCACATGACTGGTCATGTGACTTGGAAAATAAAAGTAGAAGTACAAAAGTGAAGTGTAAGTAGATGCTGGTATGTCAATTGTAACACCAGGTACTTCAATATTATTGTTTCCCCGCAGGAGTGAGCATTTCTCATGTACATCTCTATTGGTTGCTGTCAAGTGTATGTCAAATCAATCTACAGGGTACATAGAGTTGACAGACTTACCATTGAGTATAGGAGCCCCACTATTGGATGTCAAGCCATCACTCATGGGACACATGAGAATATCAGAGTTAGCCTCCTGTAACACATTCATGTTCATAACATTTTTGTGGAGAAGGCGGAGATCTGGGTTCCCGGATGCCATCTGAAGCCATACACCCTATTCTGATCCACAGGGCCCATTCTGTCATGTAGGCAAAATAAAGATAAGTTGTTTAACAAGCCCAAATTTTTAAGACTGAACATACCTGTGTTTTTGTGACACGTTGGCTAATACGGTCCCACATTTGCCTACCATCACATATTATACTAATAGCAGTAGCCACCTTTTCAGCTACATTTGGTACTGTGTTGGCTAGTTCTTTATGCCTCTAGCCTGAGATGACTCTGGATTGATGATATGTTTGGCATGACACTCTGTGCCTGTTCAGTCCACGCCAATCATCAAATGACTGTACACAGTTCCCACCACATTTTAAGGCCATGAACACTACTAATAATCCTTTAATCCTAAGCAACAGAACAACCAACTTCAAAATCTTGATTGTGTGCTGATTCTGATGACAGTGACCCAGATTTGATTTGAAACACCCCCACAACATGGCCACCACAACAGGGTGAACTCACAGGTTTAAGCTAGGACTCGGGCTCTGCCTCCTACCACAAATTGACTCAGACTTGGATATCCTAATTCTGGGGGTAGCGTACTTTTAAGTTCTATCCCAGAACTTTTTCAATTGCAAAACTTCATTTGGATAATATGGAATTTTAATGATCAGAGCCTTCACACCACTTGATTTGGCCCTGTCTGAACTCACTTTTTAAGGCGCCAACTTAAAGTGTAACAAGTAGTTTATTATGTAATTGCTGTCCTCTTGGTATCAGACCAATTCACTATACATTCCCAATATTTTGCACTATGTCTACTAATACCATTACTGAAATCACAGAGGG